TTGCATTTCTCACATTTCTATACTTTCTTTTCCTTAGGCCTTTTTGTGTGGGGTGTATAGCCTCACTTGTACTTAATGTAATTATTTTCTTTTATTCAGAAATGTCTTTATTGTGTCTTTCTTTCCTGACTTCCTTTATTTTCTAACTTTTCTCTTTTGTCTGGCTATTTTTCCCCCCATGGTTTCTTATTTTAAGAATAAAAGGCACCCATGCTTTATTTTCTTTGCAACTGCAATTATTAGGTTGATTTTTACAAATCACAACAATAAATTTGTATTTCAATTCTCATGTACTCGTTAGCAAAATACGCTAGTGGGTTTCTTTATCAGGTTATTCTTTTCTTTCTTATAGTGCTGAATTTTTCCCTTTTGTTTAACCATATTTTAAAAAGTTGAGTTGACTTTGACTAGCTATCAACAAGAGGTTTTGGTTGGAAGTAGTTGCTTTCCAGTTTAAGTTTTCTTTCCAGCTTAAGTTTTCTATCCTCTTGCTACAGTGAAAACATAGTGCCTCCTCGCAAGCATGACCTATGGCTCCTGCCTTTCAGGACCTGCCCTTCCACACTTGAACTCTCACTTCCTTTCTCCCACAGCTGCTGCTACTCAGAGACAGGACTCTTGTCTTCTCAGGTGCCTCTTCACGTTTAGAAGTCGCTGCTTCTGGAACCCACTGAATAGCTTGTGTGTGATCCTTTGCTAGTTCCCTCAGTATCCATGGCCTGCTTATTTTAACCCATCCATCGCAGAGTGGTTCCAGCTCTGAGTTTTGCCTTCTCCTATCCTCGAGTGTTTATTTATGAACTTTTCAGTATTGAACTCTCTGGACATTCCTCATTTCTCCCTCCTATTCTGTTAGAGCTTCCACTGTCCATTCTGCTGGTTTCGTGTGTGGTGGCTTTTGTAGTTTGTAGATTTTCTTCTTATTGTTTAGCTGAGTCTGTTGTTTGTGCATATGTTTGTTCCATTCTCCTTTTGGCTTTGTGTAATTTCCAGGAAAGAAGTGGAAAAAATCAAAAGTTGCCACAATTTTGCTATCAAAATTAGAAGTCCATCTTCTTCTTTTAAATATAGTGGTGTTTTGTTTTGTTTTGTTTTGTCTTCCATATAGATTTATATTATAAAGGCATAAACATGTCTAGTTTCATAACCCCACAAATAGCTTTGGCCCCACTATTTTCTTTATATTAGTGTTTATGCTCCTTCCACAATACATACTCCTGGTTGGGGTGAGGTAGTGAGAGTGTATTTTTTTTTTAAACCCATTATGCTTTTCTATTTTCTTTTAGTCTGTTTATTTACTTCAAAGTAACTTTTTCAAAAAATAATTTTTAATTTTGCATTTCATCCTCCTATTATATCTAGGTTACATTTTACATAGGTGAATTAAAAATAATTTTAGATGCCCTGGAGCATTCATCTTTTCGGTGGCAGGGAAATGCATGAAAGGAAATGGGAAGCTAGCTCAAAAGTAAATATTAACGTATTTGTTAATGTTAACATATTTGTTAAAGAGGAATATTTAGTATGAAAGTCCACAGTTAAGAGGATGAAAATCAATCAATAGACGGAAAGAAAATATTTGCAAGCCACATATCTAACAAAGAATTAGTTATATATATAAAGAACTCTCAACATACCAGATTAAAGAAAAAAACATCACCAATTAATTTAAAAATGGGCAAATGTCAAGAACAGGCAATTTACTGAAGTGGACATACAAATGGCAAATGAGCACATAGAAAAATGTTCAACATCATTAGCAATTAGGAATATGTAAATTAAAACCACAATGGAATATCACAAGACACCTATCAGAATGGCTAAATGAAAAATAAGGACAGCACCCAAATGCTAATAAGGATACAGAGAAGCTGGGTCATTCATACATTGCTGGTGGAAATACAAAATGTCAGATGGTAGAATTGCTGATGGAAATGCTGGTTCATATTCTGGGAACTTATCCTAGAGAAATGAAACTTGTGCTCACACAAAACCTGTACATGAATGTTCATAGCTACTTTGTTTGTAATGGTCTGAAACTGAAAAGAACAGAAACACCCTTCAACAATGTTTAAACTGTGGTACATTCATATCATGGAATCCTACTCAAAATATAAAGGAATGAACTATTGATACATCAATGTGGATGGATCTCAATTGAATCATGCCATGTGGGGGGAAAAGCCAATTCCAAAGTTTCCATACTATATGATTCTATTTCTATAATATTGCTAAAATTCATTACTATAGAGAGCAGAATAGTAGTTGCCAAGGGTTAAGGAGAAGTTAGTTAGGCATGGGAGGGTGTGGCTCTAAAAGGGACATATTTTCTTGATTTTATCAGTGTCAATAGCTTGGTTATGATACTGTACTATCACTTTGAGAGGTGTTAACACTAGGAGAAGCAGAGTGATGAGTACATGGGATCTCTGTTATTTCTTACACCTGCATGATAGTCTACATTATCTCAAACTAAAAAGTTTAACAAAAAAATATAAGCATCAAATCTACACATACTGCATGCGGTTGCCTTTACTTTGTAATACTTAGAGTGTTGACATTGCACAAAAATGAGAAGAGAAGGAAGGCAAATAAGACAGAAAAAACTCATTGTCAACATAATTTATAACATTGATCATGGCCATTTGCACTGTGCGGTCATTTTGCAATAAGTTACTGTAAATATTACTTGTCAGCAGTTATCTCAGCAATTCGGTATGTTTGAATTTGGCTGTTCTACCCTGTGGCCTGGTGCCAATAGGTGTTACAAAAGGACACATTTCTAATGGAAATTTAAGGATTCTCTTTTGAACAAAATTTTAACAAACAATGAAAATTACTCATCTTCTAAGTACTGACTAGCAAACAATTGTAGAGAGGGAATTTTGGAAAGGAGTGTAGATGCCAGTGTGGTAGGAAGTTAGACAGCCATGAGCAGAGCAAGGAGGGTGGGCCAGGTTATAGGTCAACAGGGTGCTTAGCAATGGGCAAACCTGAGAAAACAGGGCCTTGCCCCCAGGGTAACCTTTCCTCCCCTAGCTTATTACTGGTCATGGGGTAAGACTCATCTGACTTTTCATCTTTTCATATCTCTGGTCATGTGGTTGGGACCCTCCTCTGATCTTTCTCGCCCTAGCATGTTGCTAAGTCATGTGGGTCAGACCCTTTAGAGGGGGAATGAACAAAGGGTCTGGAGAACAGCCCTTTTTGCATTGAGGACAATGAGGTTCTGACTCAAATCAGTTACATCTAGGCCTCAGTTGTGTTTTAGCTTCAGGCCCAGAAAAGCCACCAAACCAGACAAGGGACCCCTATGGTTGGCCTCAGCACCAGCTGCTTGACTAATTACCCCTGCCTTGGCACCAGCCAATCTGCAGAAACCACAATTGGACACAGTGGTGGAAAGCGAATGCTTGTTCTATTGGGATCCTCCCCTGAGACCTCCAGATAAATACCCTCTAGACCAGGGTCCAGTGGGGCTCTCTCTATGGAGCATGCCATGCCTTTCCCCACCCCTTTCCCTCAGGCACATTTTACTGAGCCTAGTTCTTCTATGGCTCACTTCTTCTTCTACCTCTGTGACTTTGTAAATAAACTCTCTTATAGTCTGTCATGGCTCTGAATTCTTTCTTAGTCAGAATTCCAGGTTGCTGAGCCCAAAGTCCAGTCTGACTCCACCAGTCTAACTCCTGTTGCCATTCTTGCTGCTAACATATGGATCACTAGTTAATCTTCCTGTTTGGTAGCTCCAGCTGCCTGAGAGTGTTCAACAGTGTATCATATGTCTTTTCATGACATGTCTAGAAATGACTGTAATATTGAAGTAGTAATGAGCATAAGTGGTATTCACTGATAAAAGTAAGGGTGGTGGTTCTAACAATGTGTATGTTAGATGAAGTATGGTAAAGTCACTGTGGCCACAGGGGAAAGGAAAATAATGATATATTTTTCCCCCTAATAAAGTCATGGACTTTCTGGAATCAAACCCTTCACTAGAGTATGTTTGTGGGTTATTTGGAATGATCTGATAGCAAGGGCAAAACTGATGATGTGGGAGAGAGAAGGAAGAAATGTAGGACAAAAAGAAGGTAAGAGAGCCTAGAAGGAGTGTTGGCATTTCACCTTCCACATGTTCACCAGAGGGAAGTATGGAGAATGAGGACAAATGTGTAAACTTTGCAGGATTGGTGGTAAGAAGGAGAGTGCTCTTACTTGATTGTTTCTGTATTCCCAGTGACATACAAAGCAGGATCACTACCTCACAGTGAAGAAGGTTGTGCAGGTTGTACAGGTAAAACAGTCATTTGGAAAGTGAGAAAGTGAACACATTAGAGAACTTTTTAGGATTGCAAGACATTGTTGAAAGACCATGAATTTATAGTAAAAGCAGTCAACAATTTTGTATATTTTTCTTGAACAAAGTTGAACTACAGGTTACTTATAACATACTGAAACTTGAAAACAATGTTCAAATATTACAGTATTTAGTAAAACGTCTAGTAATTATTCCAAATTATTATTTTGCACTCCAAGAAAGGAAGATGCAGCTAAGTAATTACATGGTCAGAAGGGAGGTTAAGTATTAGAGTTGGCCAAATCAGTCAAAATTTAAAATCAATGACCATATGTAATGATTATAATTTTTTTCTTGACTATAACTTCAGCATTGGGGTTAGTGTGTCTTAAACCTAATCAATGGCCGCCAAAACCGGTTTGGCTCAATGGATAGAGCGTCAGCTTGGGGACTGAAGTGCCCCGGGTTCGATTCCGGTCAAGGGCATGTACCTTGGTTGCGGGCATTTCCCCAGTAGGGGGTGTGCAAGAGGCAGCTGATTGATGACTCTCTCTCATTGATGTTTCTAACTCTCTACCTCTCTCCTTTCGTTTCTGTACAAAAATCAATAAAATATATATTTTTTTAAAAAACCTAATCCATGGCCCAGTAACTTTGTTATCAGAAATGCTTACTAATATGATCCGTATTTATGTGTGTTTTTCAGTATGGACCAATATTTACAGTCTTTGCTGTGGGAACTCGAATGACCTTTGTTACTGAAGAAGAGGGCATTGATGTGTTTCTAAAATCCAAAGAAGTAAACTTTGAACTTGCAGTGCAAGATCCTGTCTATCGTACAGGTAAAGAATATTCTCAGTTCATTTGAAATATAACATTGGAATCCACGAGTAGTTTTAGGTACCAGTTACATCCTTACTCCTATATCAAGAATGACAAAGCTCCATGATTTTATTGTTTAGAGTAGGGATAGAAGGAGAAGAGAGTGTCTAATGAGTTTGGTCATTGAAAAACTAAGTATTGGCAGCTTATATTGAGATCAGTTATCATAGATCTCAATTAGACACATGAAAGAGATGAGGTTACCTCACTGATGTTTTCTTTGGAAAATATTTGGAATCTGTATCCTGTTACAGCTCCCATGATGTGGCTAACTGTTCTGCTACTCTGCATACAGTGTTCTTCAGGCTGTAGCTCTTGGCTTGATCACATCTTACTGCTCTGCTCCCTGAAAGTAGAATTCCACTGCTTACTAAGCTCTTTGCTAATGGCATTTCCTGACATAATCCATAGGGCTACTAAGGTAAGTGGTGCGCTTTCTCCAAGTCCCTGTCTGCAGTGACCTCTGGATTGCACTGGTTAGTGTGTTCGCAGGGTCAAGGTCTCCTCTGTTTCTTCCCAGGTCACACATGTGCATGCTGCTGAGCCCTTTGTCCTCCCAGGAATGTAGGGCTGATTCATTTGGCATCTGATTCATTTTGCACCGTTGTCGTCATCATGCCTGTGCTGGCTTCTACTGACTATAGCTTTTTTTATCTTTGCTTCTTTCTTAGATTCCTTTTCATGTAGCTTCTCATGCATTTTTTTTTTTTACCATTAAGACAAAAAAGTTTATTTTAAAAGCCCTCAATGACCAGTACAACGATTATTTTTTCACCTTGCTTTTATGAAAATCACATGTTGTTTAAATTTTATGATATTTAGTATACTTCTTGATATTTTGAGTATGGAATTTCAGATCAAAGAATATAAATATTTTAAAATTTCTTGATCTATAAAGCCACATATCCTTTAGAAATATATACTAACCTACTCATCTGTCAGGTACATGAAAGTGATCAAGTTTTTATACCTATCCCTCCCTTTTTGGTGGCCTTCAGGTTTAAATATTTTTAAAAATATTTTATTGATTTTTTTACAGACAGGAAGGGAGAGAGATAGAGAGCTAGAAACGTTGATGAGAGAGAAACATCGACCAGTTGCCTCTTGCACACCCCCTACCCGGGATATACCCACAACCAATGTACATGCCTTTGACCGGAATCGAACCTGGGACCTATCAGTCCACACACCGATGCTCTCCCACTGAGCCAAACCGGTTTCAGCATCATGTTTAAATATTTTTATTCAATAGATGAAGTATGTTAATATTTACTTTTGAGTCAGCTTCGAATTTCCTCTCATGTATTCCCCTCCCACAGAGAAGATGAGTGCTTCACGGTATCTAAAAATTATTTTTAAATTACCTATATAAAATGTAATCTATACATAGTAGAATGATGAAATATAAAACTAAAAATTATTTTTTGAAAAGTTACTTTGAAGAAAATAAAATAGGATTAAAGAAAAATATAAAGGAATAGTCCATAAAAACACTAATTATACTCTCACTACCTCAACCACACCAGGAGTGTGTATTGTGGAAGGAACATGAACGCTAATATGAAGGAAACAGTGGGGCAAAAGCAATTCATGGGGTGAGGAAAGGACTTCTGGTGGAAGTAATATTCAAGAAGATGCTTGAAAGAGGAATAGAAATTAGCAGGAGAAACTTAGGTCTTGTAGGTATGCATGCATGGGGGTGAGGGTGAGGTTGGTCAAGTAGAGAATGTTAGGAGCAGATTGAACAGCTCATGAAAAAGCTGGGCTCTATAAAAATGTGTTTTCAATATACCTGAAATGTATATGTAAAGGGGAAAATATCACCAGAGAGTCCGAAAGTTGGTAGAAAGCCAATGAAAGGTTTAAGCATGAAAATAACATCACTAGAATTGTTTCCCAGAGGCCAACTTATAGATTATACCTTAGAGTAAATGACCCTACAGACTTTTACTATCTTACCATATAGGTTGAATCTTTACCTGGTTTTATTGCCAGGAGGTTGTTTTCTGTTTTTGGTGAACTTTGGCTTTATTCCCTACTGATCAAATCATAGAAGTACTAGTATATTGACTGCTTCAAGGAGTTGTTGCTTCTTTTAAAAAGAGTTTTCTTGTTTATAGCATCAATTCCAAAGAATGTCTTTTTAACACTGCATGAAAAGCTTTATATCCTGATGAAAGGGAAAATGGGGACTTTCAACCTATGTCATTTTACTGGACAACTAGCTGAAGAATTACAGGAGCAACTGGAGAACTTAGGCACTCATGGGACAAGGGACCTGACCATCTTAGTAAGGTAAATAGACGAACTGGTATTAGTTCATTTTGCTTTTTTGGAATAAAACATTTTAAGCCTATACATTGGACTTCAGAGATTATCTGCTGGATCAATAAAGTCTACCTAACTAGGCAATTAAGAGATTATGTTAATATTTTAAATTCTAATTGATGGGCAGGTTTCAGTTGAGTACTCTACTTTTATGGTGAGCAAATAAGTCAACACACTTAATACATGTATAGTAATTTCTCCTTAGTCATTCCATACAATTGTATATGCTCTGTATGGATTTACCTCTTACAATTGTCATGCATCCATCAGATTTTTGATAAAAAAAATTCAGTGAAATTTGTGATTATTATAACAAGTGGATGTTGAAAAGACAAGGGAGAGGGCAGAATCATCAAATAGAGCAGTATTTCCCAATATAGGGCACATGCCCCACAGGGGGGCAATTTGGTTTTTAAGGGAGGCAATTCGATAATGAGTTATTAACAGTGAATTTTTTGCATTTCTTATGGTTCTAAATGCTTCATACTATTTATAAATATGTATTGACATAATTATGCATTTCAGTTCTCTATTATATGTTTTGAAACTTTGCTATTTTTTCATATCACTTCATATTATTATTTTAAAACAATTTCTTAGTGATTTCTTCCTCAGTACTTCAGCTGTCTTTTTGTTCTTTTATTTTTCTCTTTCATGGATGCCATGTTCTTTGGAAGTTTGTTTAGGCCAAGTTAATGGCCTTTTAGGCTCTCCACATGAATAGGAGTTCATTTTTGAATAATAAGAATCATATGTCATGGGGGGGGGGATAAAAAGAGGGTACATTAGGATTTTAGAGATGCTTAGGTGGGGCATGGCCAGAAAATGGTTGGGAACCACTGAAGTAGAGGGTCCAAGACATGGTATGAGACATGAAAAGTTTACTGAGGTAAAGTCAACAGAGGTCCCCAGATGCCTCCTGGAGGGGAGGTGCTGAAAGGCAGATGAGATAGAAAAAGCAAGTCAGCCAAGTTCTGAAGCTTTCTGGCAAATGGAAGTCTGGGCATGGGAACCAGGAGAAAATTTTCCCTTGTGCACAGGAGATGTGGGAAATTGAATTAACCTTGGGCATTTTTCCATCTCAGTGGGATACTGGGATGCCAAAGGTGGGATTCAATAGTTCAGACTCAGGAAACAGAACAACACTTAATGTTTTGTTAGTGGTTAGAAAGAGAGAGAAAAAAAGGAACAAAGACAACCAACCAATCAAACTTTGGCATGCCCCAAATGTACAACAAAACAGTAAATTCTCCGCTATCTTTAAAACTTTGGAGAAAATAAATAAAAAAAGAAATTAACAGTACTCAGTGTTACTAATCTAGGGCATATTAGCAATCATTGATATTATTTTACTTAAGTATGCCACAGTAATAATTCTATTCACTTATGGTAAAACTTAATGATACGTAATATATTTCAATATAGAATGGTTCACATTTGTAGGATCCTGTAGACATTAGGAAATTTGGTGACTAATATCTCCCTTGATTCTTTGATTGTTTTTTTCTGTTATCTAAAGGCATGGACTGTATGTTAGTTATTATCTGTTAAATAAGTGATTTTTAAAATTGCATTGAATCAATTTATTTCTGTGCGTCTAACATTTGGCAGAATCTAAGAATGCTTGGTTAGAAAGCATTTTAAAATCTTCAGGTAAATAAGACTACAATTTCAGTTACTCTTGTCATTTTTTAAAAAAATGTTTCTGTTGATTTTAGATAGAGGAAGGGAGAGGGAAAAAGATATGGAAACATCAGTAATGAGAGAGAATCGTTGATTAGCTGCCTCCCACACAACCCCTACTGGGGATCGAGCCCTAAGCCCCAGCATGTGCCCTGATTGGGAATTGAGCGTTGACCTCCTAGCTCATGGGTCAATGCTCAACTGCTGAGACACACCAGCTGGACACCCCTGAGTCATCTTGACAACAATATGCAAATATTAAAACCTGTGAAGGGTAGCTTTTCCCCCAAAAAAATATATCATGTATTATTTTCTACTCCTTATATATATAGCTATTAAATAATGCCCTCTTTTGTATCCTGACTTTATATTCTCCTGGTCATTGGGTCTGACTTTTCGCATGCTTCTCCTTTCATAGGCATCTCCTTTATCCAGTCAGTGTAAATACACTCTTTAAAAAAGGTTTGTTTCCCACAAACAAGAAGAAAATCACGGAGTTCTACCAGCAGTTTCAAACTTATGATGAAGGTTTTGAATATGGGTCGCAGATGCCAGAATGTCTTTTAAGGTAGAAGTTGTTTCCTATAATTAATTCATTGACCAAGCTCCTCTGGGCAATTCATGCACCTCTCATTTCCCTGTTCAAAGTAGATATAACAGTTTAGTAGAAAAGAGAGATAACTGTTTTTTATGACTGGCTTGTTTTTGAAGGAGGAACAGAAGAGATATGCATGTTTTCTTCTTTAACTTCAAGGAACAAATCCTTGAAAGGGAAGTAGAGAGAGAGAGAGGAAAGAAAAGGAAATGAATATGAATGTGAATATTAGAATGAAGTGCAGAATTTATTTGAGTCTTATCCCATTTACAACTTATAATCACACTCATTGCCACAGTTTGGACCTGCGTTAAACTGTCCAATGTATCTAGTCTCAGAATCAGACATGGTCATCCTCATTCTCTCTGAGGCAAAAGTAGGTGTGGTTAAATGCATTTCTTAAAGTGACTCAGATAAAAATTTATAAAATGGCTTGAACACAAAGTAGCTCATTTTCTTTTTTTTAATCTCTTGGCAATTGGTTTATGGTGGTTGATGGTCAGAAAGATTAAAAACACATAAAGCCAGTTTGCTTTACCTGGTTTAATACAGCAATGGGTCCCCATGCTAGCTTTTCATCCTTCTGTAAGTGACAACAGCCAGAGTGAAAGTATTTTATTCTGAGTTTTGTTTTCTTGTTCATTGCCAATCCTATAGGAATTCAAACATATATCTGTAAAAAAAACACTAAAGTTGTCCCTTTCCATTTTCCTTATGGATTAATAAGTCTGAGGGCAGACCTCTCATGAAATTCTAGCTGAAGATGAAAAATTTGGAGAAATAATTCTATAGACATCCCCCATTTCATACTGTGACCTTTTGGAGTGCTTTCAAATTAATTTATACACTTTTTTTTTCTCTCACCTAGAAACTGGTCAAAATCCAAACGGTGGTTTCTAGCATTTTTTGAGAAAAACATCCCAGTTATAAAAGCAAAAAAATCTGAAAAAGATAATTCCATGGTAAGTAGATCTTATCTTTTTTTTTCTTCCCTAAAATACATGAGATGAAGACAACGAGGCTTTTTAAATCATAGCCACTCTAACTCCCTACTTGAATCAAGACAAATTTTGAACTTTCATTGATGCTCATTCGTTGTTTAAGACTTTGGAACACAATTCAGTGTGAACAGTCACAAGCAGTTTAACTTCATCTTTGTATGTATTGCTTCTGTTTCCCTTGAAAAGTTTCCTGTTTTGATACCCACATTTTTTTTTAATGTGGGCTAAGAAGAAAATAAAAGATTCTGTTATGTTCTGCATAAGTGGATTTCAATGGCCTACTTAAGCAGAGGACTAAAAGAAGTTTTTTGTTTTTCAAATATTCTAAACCCATTTTATTACGTTAGAAATATCAGATGTGGTGATTTCATCCATGTGTCTAAATGTATATTAAACGAGTATTTCCATTTACAGAATATCAAAATAATGAAATACATCTGTAGGATTTTTCATGAGAAATAAACTTGGTGTTATAATAGCTTCCATTGTAAGTATGATAGAAACCAGCTTTGAATGAAATTTATACTTAAACTATTTTCAGTCCTGCTAACCCATTGTTACAAAAAACAATAACAATAAGTCACTACTGACGTTTATGGGTTGCATACTCCATGCCAGGCACAGTGTTACACAGATTCATTTCTCATTTATTTTCCACAACTTTCATACCCAGAAAATTGGGGGTTGTTAAAACCAGAAAGCTGGGGATCAGAGTAGTTAATCACTTTTGAAACATTACATGCCTTAGTAAGTAACGGCAACTGTCTCTCCATATATTTTCTTTGATAGTGACTTAATAGTTATTTTCTGTATTGTAGGATCTGAAGCAAAACTACTACATATGGTACAAGGCAGCTCTCCAAAATCTAAACCTTGAGAATTATGGGTTGTTCCTCTTAGGGGGCAGTAGAGTAGGCAGCTAAGAGTGTGGGCTCTGAAGCTAGTGCCAAGCTCGCAGGATCTGTATCCCAGCCCATCACCTAGAAGATATATGACCCTGGCAATGTCTCCTAACTTAATCAGACTTCAGTTGACTCAAATGTAAAATAGTGAAGATAGTATTTATGTCTTGGAGTTGGGTGAGGATTGAATGGATAAAATACTTGTAAAGCACCTGAAATGGTATTTGCCTTAGCAAGCAATGACTAGACAGTAGCTATATTATTTCTATCACCTACGCCTGAGTTACTTAAGGCTCAAAGTGCACAGGTAATTTAATAAAAATTCTCTAGTATCTGAATTCATTCCTCATGCTGTTTTTCACAGGGTTTCAGAGAATAACAGTATCTATAGAACACTGGCCCTGCAGTTTTCTCTCTCATGGGATATAGCCTGAGAAACTGCATGGTGAATGGCGGTAAAGTTTTCTCCTGAATGCTCCAGAGAGCTGTGTTTCTTTTGCAAAGAGTAGTGGAGAGAGAGAGAGAGAGAGAGAGAGAGAGAGAGAGAGAGAGAGAGAGAGAGAGAGTTTAACATTTCTCAAAATGGCAAGTCATTTAATCCTTACCACAATCCTATGATCATTTTATAGATGAAACTGAGGCACAGAGAATTTAACTTGTCTGGGGTTACCCAATTCTTAAATAACAGCCAAGTTCTAGTTGCTCATGAAAGTATCTTGGAGGTTGTCGCTTCATCCTCTTAAGTAAGAACCTGAACAGACTGAAAAATCAACAACTCTTAGATTCACCAGAGAGGGATGATACAGGGCAAACCTTTGGCCTCCAGAATGGAGAGAACAGTAAGCAAATACCTGATATTTTGTTAAGGATTTTTGCTCTATATTTAGTTGTGGGGGCACCATTCATCCCAGTCAGCCGAATTGTGCTCCCATTATGGGAATGCACTGACCACCAGGAGGAAGCTCCTGCAATGAGCATTTGCACCCCTGGTAGTCAGTGCATGTCATAGCAATTGATAGACCAGGCATTCTGGTCATTCCACTGTTTGGTCTCTGGGCTTTTATTGTATAGGATAGAGTAGGATAGGATAATGTCTTTGGTTTTGGTATTAATGTCATGTTGGCCTTGTAAAATGAGTTAGGATGTGCTCCCTCTATTACTATACTCTGAACAAAAATTGGTATAAGTTTATTTTTAAATGTTTGGTAGAAAGCTTGGTGCTTTATGTTTTGGAAAGTTATTAATTATGGACTTAATTTCTTTAACAAATGTGGGCCTGTTTAGATCATCTATTTCTTTAGAGCTTTGGCAGATTGTGTCATTCAAGGGAGTGTTCATTTCATCTAGGCTATCATATTTGTTGGCAAAGAGTTGTAGAAAGCATCTCTTTATTATATAGCAGAGGCCCATTGCAGGAAGGTTCCTGCAAGAACAGGGCTTCTGCTATCTCCCTCCCTCCCTTCTCCGCTCCTTCTCTCCCTTCTGCAGTGCTTGGCTTCCTTCTATGCTGTCTTCAGTCTTTGCTCCATGCCTGCATATGTAAATTAATGGCCATCTTTTTATTCATTTTTATTTTTTTATTGATTTTTTACAGAGAAGAAGGGAGAGGGAGAGAGAGTTAGAAACATCAATGAGAGAGAAACATCGACCAGCTGCCTCCTCACACCCCCTATTGGGGATGTGCTCCCAATCAAGGTATATGCCCTTGACTTGAATTAAACCTTAGACCCTTGAGTTCGCAGGCCGATGCTCTATCCACTGAGCCAACCTGGTTAGGGCTAACCGACATCTTTGTTGGGTTAATTTGCATACTTGCTTCTGATTGGCTGGTGGGCATAGGAGCCGATGGTCAATTTGCATGTTTCTCTTTTATTAATGTAGATATTTTTAACTTTTAAATATATTTTTTTTATTGATTTCAGAGAGAGGAAGGAATATAGAGAGAGGGATAGAAATGTCAATGATGAGAGACAACCATTGACCCACTGCCTCTTGCACACCCTCTATTGGGGATCAAGCTCTATACCCATAGAGTGTACAATACTAAGAGTGTACCCTAAAGTAAACTATGGACTTTAGGTAATTATGATGTGTCAATACTGGTTCATCCTTGGTGAGAAATGTAATTTACTGCTGAATGATGTTGATAATTGGGAAGGTTGCGCATGTGTGGGATAAGGGTTATAAGGAAATCTCTGTACCTTCCTGTCAATTTTATTGTAAATCTAAAAAAAAAAAAAAAAAATTAAAGTCTTAAAAAAAATACTAAGGCAGATTTTGAAGCAATAGAGTAAGGGAGCTGAGCTCTAGAGTCCCTACTCCTAATCACTGAACAAGGAGTAAGTATGTAAATCCCTTGGCATGCTGCAAACTGCAAGCCTGGGAATGGCAGAAATAATACCTTTGGGAATAAAAGAAAAATGTGCGGTCTGTTGTTTATCAACATCAGTCTTTATCACATAACTGCGGTTTGACAATACTTATTTCTTTCAACAGACACTAATGCAGGTGCTGTTGGATACCATAGACATGGAAACAAATGAGCGTAGTCCCAACTACGGGCTTCTGCTCCTTTGGGCTTCTTTGTCCAATGCCGTCCCTGTAAGTATGTCAGCAAAATAAGGGCTGCCTTTCAGTCTATGCATTTTCAATGTTCCCTTCACTTTCCTTGCTCCCTCCCTGCCTTCCTTTCCCTTTTCCTTATGGGAAAGAAAAAGACTGCAATGGAGTTGCAGTCTGAACTGAATATTTAATGAAATCTGATAAGATCACCAAGGAGGCAAATTGAAGATCTGTGGGAATTCCTGTGTCTGAAGTGCAGCGTGTCACAGGCTAAGGAAGAAGCTTGCAGCCGGGTCAGCTGTGACACCTGCTTATGGAGCACTTCTCTGCAGGGCAGTGGGCTTAGCGTTGGTGCTGCAGAGATGAAGAAGGCTTGACCCTTAGCTTTCATTGGGGAGTGAGTGGGTCAACAGATAGTTTCAGATAGAATTGCACTTGAATCCAGGTATCCCCAGTCACAGCTATAGAATCTCACGGAGGTAATTTCACCTCTGAGCTTCCATTTCCTTCTCTGTAAAAAGGGGATAAGGAAACTCCTAGTGAGGTCCTAGGACTTGGTACTTATTAATAGTAACTCTCGCCGAAACCGGTTTGGCTCAGTGGTAGAGCTTCGGTCTGTGGACTGAAAAGTCCCAGGTTCGATTCTGGTCAAGGGTACCTTGGTTGCGGGCACATCCCCAGTAGGGGGTGTGCAAGAGGCAGCTGGTCAATGTTTCTCTCTCTCTCTCATTGATATTTCTAGCTCTCTGTCTCTCTCCCTTCCTCTCTGTAAAAAAAATCAATAAAATATATTTTAAAAATAATAATAACAATAATAAAAATAGTAACTCTCATTTCTCTGCAAGGTTGTTGTTGAGGATTCAAGATAAGCCCATCTGGTACCTGTTGAATATGAGTTCTTTGTCTTCCCCATCCCCATCTCCTCCTGTTTATATTACCTGCCATCTTGGTCCTGTAAGCTTCCCTGTAAATGGAGCTGGTGGCACCGAAACGCACAATACTTCTGAAGAAATTGGACACTGTGTAACTAATTTTTTTAAAAGCTCTTATGAACTCGATTAAAGCCATGAGCTTTGTCTGCCTCTTCAGGTTCCATACTGGCTGATTTCCTGTGTTGGGAGGGATTTCACATTAACCTAAGCTGCACTTACATTATCTGAGAAATTAAAGGGTGACCTTTTTTATACACTTATTTTTCTCCTTAACAGGAACATTCAGATCATCTGTAATGATAAATGTGGTCATTTTTCTTCTTTTTCTTCAAACAAAGAGAAATAAAATATGTTAAGTATTATTTATATCTTCTTCCTCTTATGAAGGTCCAGGCTATTAAAGGCTTTCTAACTACTGACATTCTAGTTTCCTTTAACCTGCTTCAAACTCATTGGGTGAAGAGCAGAAATAGACATTTCAGCTTCTCTGCCCAGATGCATGTCAACCACTAGAATATATAAAATAGTCTAATTAATCCTTTCCCCTTCTTTATGTACAAAGAATATTCATCTTTGATTTTTCCTTACATAATTTTCTTGGAAGCTGATGAAGCAATAGCAAAATTAAAAAGGAATATGAAAACAACTCCAAAGCAGCAACAAAACAGCCACTCCTGTCACAGGATTGATTTTCAAGATCCCATTAGAACAGTCCCCTAGAGGACAGGGGCACAAAGCCCCATTGATCTGACTCTGGGGAAGTCAGCACATTGGAATTTGTTCCTGGCAGTGGTCTGAAAGAATTTAAATCCTTAACTTCAGAAAGAAAGTGTCTGATGATTGTTCAAAGTTCATCTTGCTGGCTGTTGTTGGCACATCCAAGGGGCAGCTGGTATGTAGGCAGAAACCCGGGAAGGCTTTATAGGTCAGGTCCAAAGCCAAATCCCAGTGCCGGGTGACAGCCGGTACTTTGTTGAACCTCACTGAGCCTCAGTATCCTCATCTGTAATATATATTTAATGATATTTCCCTCATAGGGTCATTGTGCAGATTATATTGGTAATAAACAGAAATAGCTAACTGTCCATGGCACAAGATAGGCGCTTAATAAATGTTAGCTGTGTTCACTTATAAAAAGTAAAGCCGTGGTTTCAATCAGCCATTATTTTCATTAGTAACCAACTATCCTGGCTTCCAAAACGTGACTGCTCACATGCCCCAGGGCAGGCGCGGCCTCTGCTGTCCTGGTTTCTGTGGTCTTCCATCACCGCCTGGAGAGCTGCCGAACATCCTGCTGGAGGTGTAGGTGGTGGTCCTGACATTTCTTGGTTCCCACATCAGATCTTAGCATTTGTCCTACTCTGTGCTCTGCCTAGAGGCCTGTGGGGCTCAGAGCTCAAGCTTCCAATAGGCTTGGTACAGGGCCCTGGGAGGCCCCATTGACACCCAGGAGAACTTTGGTGGACTGGCCCGAGATATTAGCCACGATTTATGAAATTGTTTCTATACTAAAACCATTTCCAAGTTCCAAGAACTTTTCAAGAACATTTTTGCAATTCTAATCTCAAAACTGACATCTTTCCTTCTTTAAAATCTTCCCTGGAGCTCTTTTCTAAACACTTTCACTAGTGACCTTCACTTTATTGTCTGTGCCACCCATTCCCTCTATATTTAGAGATTTTTTTTTCATCTCATATCCCCAACTAGATGTGAACCTTCTTTGGGCAGGAATTATGACTTATGCCAATTTATGTTTACCGTGATTGGTCAAAGACTACCTACTATGTTATAGAGACTCCATCAGTATTTGTTAAATCATTTTTTGAATGAAGGGATAAATGTTGCTCAAGGACATAGTGAGGCAGAGCTTTCCTCCCTGTCCCTGTCACCTTTGTTCTTACCTCTCCAGAGCAGTGGGAAGGCATGGGAGTGGCTGCTTCTGAAGTCACTGAGCCAGGGCCCTTCCCCTTCTTACCCAGCCCTCACCATGGACTTGACCCCTTTGGCAAAATGGTACCTTCGGGAGCACTTCTTAATTCCTTTCCCACATGTTGGTGAACAAAGATCTCAAGGTCGCTTCTTGTCTGTTGATTCAGGAATATACGTAATTTTTACTCTTTTTTGCATGCTGTTTATTTTTTAAAAAGTGACTTGACTTTCCAAAGTAGAAAATAAAGATTTTTAGAAGCAAAATCTGTTAAGAAATAAAGCATTAAAATTATAACTGGCACCATTGTGCAGCTATTTATAGTTTAGCTAAATTTCTTGTATTTGTTATAAAAAGGTATTATAGGTGAATCTCTAAAAGTCTAATTAAGCACATAGAACTTTAGGCCCTTCTTTTGCGTAACTGAAAAGCTATGTATGACACTAAGCCTTCCCCTAGCCCCCCAGCATGATCTATGACTCTTTAAATAAGATGAATTGAGTATGGAGTCACTATTAATTAAATTTAGTAATTCAGCACTTCCATCTATGAAAAATGTAGAACAGGCCTGAATGGGGAGGCAGGAGAAGAGAGCTCTCTGGGAGTCTTACTCCTACTGTAAAATCACACTATATGATCCACCTCTAGGGTAATTCTTTTGTAATCTGGAAAATGCCACAGAAAGTGCCCCTCCCCCTACCCCTCCCCGCCCCCCTACCTTGTAGTGGCCTGAGTTTAACACAATGATCCCTTCCCTGCAGTTTAATGTCTCAGAGGGGAAACAATAAGCAGCATTGACCTTGGTTTTGTGAGTGTTTCCTTTCACATAATTGCTCTTCCTCTTTTGACCACAGAGGGGAGTATTGGAATTATTTTAAGGTACCCAAAGTTTCTTCACAAAAGGGACAGATTTAAGTGACACAAAGTGTTGTCTGGGTCATATTTCAGGACTGGTTTTCCTAGATGAAATTTCTTTCACAATACAATGTTTATGAAGAAAAAAAAAAAAAAAGAAAGAAAGCATAATTCAAGCTTCTTCTAATGATTTTAAGTAGGTTTTCTATATTGTGTAGCCTAAAAATAGAAGGGAAAACATTTACCTGAGTTTAGGAAAAGCTAGTTTTTGAGATGTGTAACAGTATAATTTTATTTTACTGAATGAGGAAAGATCTGAAATACTTCTGTTTGGTCTGGAGAGAGAACTGGCAAGCATACTGCGTTCAGTAACAAGCTATGAACTTTTGAGCACCTTACTATGTTCAGTAGGGTGTAAAAGGACCCCGTTTTTTATATGGAATACTCTCATAATTTAGTTTATGAGAGTTTAGATATAGTATCTTGGGGATTACTTAAAATTTTCATGTTTCATTTGCAGAATATGATTTGATAATTCCTTTGTATTTCAAGGAAATAAAATCTTAAAAAAATATTTCTCTTTTGGACTTGGATTAACATTCTTAAGTGGCATAGTTTTTTGTTTCTAAATATTAACTGTATGCCTGCCCTGGCCAGTGTGCTCAGTAGTTAGAGTGTTGGCTCTTGCATGGAAGGGTCTCGGGTTCTATTCTTAATTAAGGATACATACCTATTGCAGGCTCGATCCCTGGCCCTGGTTGGTGTGTGTTCAGGAGGCAACCAAATCCATGTGTCTCTCACATCATGATTCTCTCTTTCTCTCCCTCTCTCCCTCCTCACCTTTCCTCTCTGCCACTCTCCCTTAAAAAAAAAAAAAAAAAAAAAAAAAAAAATCAATGAAAAAACCATCCTAGAGTGAGGATTAATAAAACAAATAAGCAAAACAAAAAATATTCACTGTATTCTTATATAATATTTTATATTGTATATTTGTAAAAGAAATTCCACTTTTCACATTTTTTTCATGCACATTAATCTATGTAAACAACATAGTGAAACTGTAGTGAGAATAAAATTATAAATTGGACCTCTTAGAGATGAATACTGTCTCTTTTGTTCATAAAACTTAGTTATTTTCAAAGATGCTCTTTACTAATGTGCTTTTAAGTTTAATTTAAACCATCTCCTTGCTTCTTTTATTTATTTTTTATTTTTTAAAATATTATTGAATGTATTACATATGTTTGAGCCTAATACTAAGTCTGCATTTGTTTACTTTCAAAAAAGGTTATAATTTTTATGTATGTTTTTCTTTTTAAGATTGCATTTTGGACACTTGGATTTATTCTCTCTCAACCCAGTCTTTACAAGGCCATTATGGAAGGCATATCATCTGTGTTTGGTGCAGCAGGTACTAAAACGGAATTAAATTACATAATTGAAGAGACATCAAATAATGTGTGCTCATTACATATCGCGAGCAAAGTCAACTGCCTGTAATTTCATAGAAATTCTATATAGTCCAAAATTGAACATAATTTATGTGTGGTAGGACTTACATGGGTCAGGTAAAATCCTAGAATTTAATTATTATCAAGGATTATAGAGGTCAGCTTGCCTAACTCCCTTATTTTCCAAATGATGACATAAATGCTAGGGAGATGGTGATCTGCCCAACTTCCCTACATAAACTTAAATATATGATGTGCAGGGCTTTTTCTCCTGGTCTTCTGGCCCCTTACTTCAATTGAGCTGCAAGTCCATAGTTTTGGAATTCAGGATTTTCCTTGTTTCATAAAAGTAATATGATGCATAGTGCATATATTACATAACAGTACTAATGGGGTAGGGAAATCAGACAACATTCTACCACCAAAGGAATTCATTTAAAAGTTCCAGTTGTTAGAGATTTCAGGGTTAACGCCAGAGATAGGAATTGCTCCCTTTCTTTTTTGGTTCAGACTCCATTCTTTTCTTGTTATTTGTTTTAAAAAGCAGAAATAATCTAGAAGAGAGAGGGCTAAGCTACTTGTTTATTCAGTATAATTTGACTTGTTTTGGAGTACATTTTTTAAAAAAAAACTTAGTATGTCAAATTATGCATTCTAATATGAAAAGAGTAACAAATGACTTGGTTTGGGGGAAGAAAACAATATAATTATTGGATAAAAAGGATCATGACAATTAACACTTTTCCTCTCCCCCTTCATGATTGCTAAAAATATCTTATTTGGAATTTTTAATTTAATTTTGACTACTTCTTACTGACCTAAACCAAAAAGCAAATTGGCTTGACCAATGTGAGTATCTGAGCCCAAAAGTTTTTTTTTAAAATATATTTTTATTGATTTTTTACAGAGAGAAAGGGAGAGATATAGAGAGCTAGAAATGTCGATGAGAGAGAAACACCGACCGACCAGCTGCCTCTTGCACACCCTCTACCGGGGATGTGCCGGCAAACAACTTACATGCCCCTGACCAGAATCGAACCTGGGACCTTTCAGTCCGCAGACCAACGCTCTATCACTGAGCCAAACCGGTTTAGGCTGAGCCCTACAGTTTTGAGCCTTGAGTGTGAATCAGCAGGCGCTGGATCTCAGCTTAGAAATTGTGAGCATTACCCTCACAGAGGACCAAGAGTGTTCACAAGGTAGATTTGGCCATATTTTAGAAAATTGTTTTCCTTTGACAGAAAATTGCTCCTTCAAATGTAGTACCAGCTATACTTATGTCAATGCTTCCAGTTTACGAGACTATTGTAGAATTGAAAACAATTTATTAAAAAAATATATCAATCATTTCTTGCCATGCCTCTGTATTTCGGATCAACACATGCATAAGCCATAGTAGTAAGTAGCTCAGGAATTTAGATGTTGTGAGAGGAGACTACAGGTCTTTGATGGTTAATATCAAGGAAGATATTCGTGTACCCATACAAAGGATCCTATCAAAGAAGGAACATTAGAGTGCATGGAACAAGGATCTGACTCAATATGGCAGTTTTCCCATCTGTATGCTCTTTTCTATCACAAGATCACTATTTCCTTCTTGGAGATGTCTTAGTGAATTTCCAATTCTGCATCTCTCTCACCTCAAAACTCACCCCTAGAGCCCATCACAGACACTTTGCCTAACTTTCTTATAAAACAAGTTTAAGGATAAAGGCTACTACTGTTGAATACTTGGTCTTTTGTGTCTAGCTTTTTTCACTTAACATAATGTTTTATATTGCTATGTTTTACTTTAATTGATTTTCAGATGTTGAACCACCATTGTATTCCTGGGATAAATCCTACTTAATCACAGAGTATAATCCATATAAGACATATAATTTTCATAAATCTCTGGATTCAGTTTGTTAGTATTTTGTTGAGGAATTTACACTAACATTAATAAGGGATATTAGTCTATAGTTTTCTTGCCATGTTTTGGGGTGGTTTTGATATTAGGATACTTCTAGCTTTATAGAATATCTTCAGAAACTTTCCCTATTCTATTTTATTTTATTTTTTGGTAGGATTTTAAAGGATTGATGTTAATTCTTCATTAACCATATGGTAGAATTCACTAGTTAAGTAAACTAATCCAGATATTTTCTTTGTGATAGGGTTTTAAAGAAATTAAATATCTCCACTTCAAGGATATTCACATTATCCATTCCTTCTTGAGTTTAGTTTTGTAACTCCTTAGGAATTTGCCCATTTCATCTAGGTTATTTAACTTGTTGGCATACAATTATTTATAGTATTCCCCATAATCCTTTTTCATGGTTAGGTCACAAGAAAAACATCTCTCCTTTTCATTTTGGTAATGTGTTCTTTTTCTTTTTTCCCTCCCTCCCACTGGGTCATTGTAGCTAAAGAGTTGCCAGTATTGTGGACAAAGAACTAACTTTTGGTTTTGTCTGTATTGTTTGATTTTATTTTTTCTTTTGATATTCTAGTTTATACTTAATTTATTTCTATTCTAATCTTTATTATTTATGATTTCTATATCTTTATTGATATTCTCTACTTAGTTCTTTGACTTGAGTTTTTTCAGTTCTTTGGGTATATTTAAAACATCTAAAGTCTTTTTTTAGTAAGCCCAATATCTGTCTTTTTTCAGGGATAGTTTATATTGATTGCTTTTTTTCTCTGTGTATGGTCAGTATTTTTTTTTTGTTTCATGTCTTATTTCATATTTTCTTTTGCATGTCTTATAATTTTTTTGCTGAAAACTGGATTTTTTTAAAATTGATTTTTCTTACAGAGAGGAAGGGAGATAGAGAGCTAGAAACATCGATCAGAGAGAAACATCGACCAGCTGCCTTTTACACACCCCCTACCGGGAATGTGCCCGCAACCAAGCTTGACCGGAATCGAACCTGGGACCTTTCAGTCCACAGATCGACGCTCTACCACTGAGCCAAACCGGTTTCTGCTGAAAACTGGATATTTTTAATATCATAATGTGGCAACTCTGGAAATCAGATTCTCTTCTCAGGTTTATTGTTATTGCTGCTTATTGTTGTACATTTAATGATTTAGTTTGTATTCCTTATCATATGTGGCACTTATGTCTCTGCTTTGTTAGTTTAGTGGTCAACAGATACTTGGGCTAAGTATTTTTTTAAAATATATTTTATTGATTTTTTACAGAGAGGAAAAGAGAGAGATAGAGAGCCAGAAACATCGACAAGAGAGAAACATCAATCAGCTGCCTCCTGCACACCATTAACCGAGGATGCACCTGCAAGCAAGATACATGCCTTGACCAGAATCAAACATGTGACCTTTCAGTCCACAGGCTGATGCTCTATCCACTGAGCCAAACCGGTTTTGGCTGGGCGGAGTATTTTTACATTGATAACCAATAACTCTCCCATTCTTTGGCAAGGGACTCTGTGCGCATATTGAGGCCTACTTCAACACATGGCCAAGCAATTGACAATTCTGCCTTAGCTTTTACTTCTTGCTTGCACAGAACCTCAAAGCCAGCCCTTGTTGAAACATTGGGACTTCTCATGTCTTTTCAGAGCACGAATAAAGCCCTGGGCATTTGTTCAGTCCTACACAAGAACAAGGCCTTCGATATTTCCAGGAATGTCCTGTAACTCTTCAAAGCCCATAGGACATTTCATTTCCTAGCTTTTTATTTGGATATTTTGGGTTTACTTGTTTTTGTCCCAACTGTTATCTATTGGTTCAGGTAGCTGCCAAGTTAAACAGTTATCTTTAAAAGTTTTCAGCCAACATCCTGGAGGAAAAGACTTTTTCCACTGGGGAACCCTAAGTCAGGTCAGGTCAAGACAGTCTTGGCAAGTGGGATTTTTCAGGAGACTGCCAGACAGGTAACATAACGATAATTTTCTAGGAATGAAGCTTCGCAGAAGTTCCAACCCTATCCTCCCCCTCTGGTGGCTGCAGGGCAACTGATTGCAATATGAATGCAAATATCGATATTCAAGGTTACTGGGGAGCTTGAGGTGGGGGCGGGGGGATGTGACAATAGGGGCAAGCTAAAATGTCATTAAGCTTGCTGTTTTTACCAAGATTCAGCCATTTTTCTTGGATTTGCACTCCCTGCATTGCTGTAAGCCCATGGTTAATTTTCAGAGTTCTGAAAAAGTGATCCTGGCTATTTTTACCCTATTTCTCGTTGGTTCTAAAGAGGGATTTTTCAAAGTCCTTTTTTTAGCTGACATAACCCTGAACCATACGTTTTGAGATTTCTTTTAGGAAACCTGCCAGATGGATGAAGCTTTCACTCATCCATTCATTGACTTGGCACTGTGAGAAATGCCAGGGCTGTGAAGGGGCGTGAGGTGTGGTGCAAGGTGCTCTCAAGGAAGCTCATGAATTGCTTTTCTATCGTGTGAAAGCAGGTTGGGGAGTAGCTAGCAGATGTTAGCAGAGAGAAAGGAATATTTCTATTGTTTCTTTGGAGATGTGTACCCGCTGGTGAATTCTGTAGGTTTTCTGTGCCTGGAACCTTTCCCTTGTTCTTGCATGAGTTCAGCATGAGTGTCATTTCCTCAGACAGGACTTGAGACTGACCCTATCTAATGACATGTTCCCTAGCTCTGCCCCTTGCTTCTCTGGCTCTTCTTGCTCCTTATTTCCTTTATATGCATGGTTATTTATTTATTGTATTTATTTATCTATCCTCTACCACCTTCACCAGAACATAATCTTCCCAACAACAGCAACGTGTGTTGTGCTCTCTATAATATCTCTAACTGCCTAGAACCAAAAAATTACTTAACAAATATTTTCTGAATGAATTTAATAAACAAATATAAGGATGCATTTTTAAGAGATGAGTGTCTTGGTCTAGCCTTCATTTACAGCTCTGTCTCCTATCCCATTAAACAGTGCCCCTGCCCCCCTAACCTGTTTGGCTCAGTGGACAGAACCTTGGCCTATGAAC